CTAAATGTAATTAAATTATTAAAATTTGGAATAATTAATGAGCATCTGAGCCATATGACTTCAGAGCTAGCTTTGGGGAAAGGCCTCAGCCTCAAGTTGTTCAGCCCTTTCAACCCTCTGAACTTTAGTTGTGTCTCTGTGTTTGTATTTGGATGTTAATCATGGAATTATTTGGACAAAGAGGGCAAGCTGTGGTTATTGACTGCACTAACGGATCATTCAAGCAGTTTTTGCTTCTTTACATCAGTGAGTAAAATTATATTTCTGTACTTTATTTTGCTGGTTGAATTGGGGGAAATGCTGTGTCATTTAGCAGTTTAACTGCTTGGTCAAACATGTTAGTGGGGCTGCTGGCTGGATAAGAAACATGAGCAGATACCCATCTTCTGTCTCCTGCCTTTGGAATCGTAGGATGTCCAAGGAAGATCCCGTCTTTCGCGACACAGATGGGTTCTACTACAATTGGCTATTTCATTTGGCAGCAAACCGTTCTCCTGCCATCGCCACCAACAGAAAGCTGTTTTGGGGAGTTTTGTAAAGAAAATATTAACTTAGCGCTATACAGTGGTGGCGCCGGGGGGGGGGGGGGGGGGGGGGGCGCTATAGCTACCCGTGGATTAGTCATTGCACCCCCATAGCACTCCCAAGTAAATATTAGATTTTTTTTTACAAATTAATTTTAATTTAACGTGTGGATGTGATCATATTTAACACACAAAACAAAAATAATCAGTAAATTATCATATAGATAGTAAAAACTTAAACCAAAACAGGAAACTGATGTTAACCTTTGACCTCATTTTCCACCTACGAACGAGTGAAAGGTAAAGCTAGTGGTAAAATGGATCTGTTTTTGTTGCCCAAATTTCCACGGGTTCAGTCAGAAACGAATGAATCTTTGGAAGTGATCTCAGACCCACGAAAACCTACAGATCTGGATGAAGAGAGTCAACCCTCAACAGCCGCAGCAGTCGAGGGTTTTGAACATCTTAGGTGCGTTCTTGCTGTGTCGTTTCTCTAATTCCATGCTGTAGTTTTTTTTTTAAACACAGAGCAGTTCTGTTTAACTGTTTTCCCACCACGTTTCGTTTGTGGCTGCAAACTTCCTCAGGCTGACGCTGATGCTGGCATCACTTCCTTCTCCGTTTATCCCATGCAAACTCTGCAATAAAACATACATAGGAGAAACCGGATGCCAACTCAACACACGAACAATTGAACACAGAAAGGAGTGCGAGAAAGAGGCGAATCGAAAACACACAAGAGCAGCAAAAGAAGAAGCAGAAAGTACAATAAAGAAGTCAGCCGTAACAGATCACTGCACAAGAGAAAACCATATAATGGACTGGGACAACACAAGGATCATAAACACCGAACAACAAAAATACAAAAGATGGATAAAAGAAGCAATCGAGATAAGGAGACGTGGATATGGGACCATGAACAGGGACGATGGAGTGTACACGTTGGACCGCGCATGGGACTGCATCATCGGAGAGGGGAGAGCGGGCAGCAGAGGGCGACAACGTCCTCTGCTGCCCGCCGATAAAGGAGAAGGAAGTGACGCCACCGTCAGCGTCAGCTCTGAGGAAGTTTGCAGCCGCAAACGAAACGTAACGGGAAAACAGGTAAACAGAACTACTCTGTGTTTTAAAAAAGAACAACAGCATGGAGTCGAGGGTTTTGCCGCTGGAAATGCTAGCACTAACGTTAGCTAACCTTGCAACACTATAGATGGTGTGTGGCTGCATGTGTTTATGATTTCATGGAAAAGTCAGCGATTATTCATATGTTTATGATGTATATTAATGATTGTTTCAGGTGTTGTTGAGGTTTTGTGCACGCATGTGTATCTGCTAGTGTTGAAGGTGTTTTAGAGAACAATAGGTACACATGACCACTTCCTTCATAGCACCCTCAATAAAAAGACTAGCTCCTTCAGAGCACCTGCAGGAAAAAATTTCTGGAGCTGCCACTGGCGCTATAATAAAAAGAAAGACAGGACCTTCCTTGGACATATTATGATTCCAAATGATGTGACCAGGAGCCCTGGCCTTTCAGATCAGTTCATTCTCCATGGTTGGAGACCAGCGGGACATTTGCTACATAATAACTTGAAGCTAATGTATTTTTTCCTGGCATTTTTAGCTAGAAGAACGTGGTAGAGTGACAACGTTGGAGTCGTTTTACTGCGTTATCATGTAGCTAATGTCCTGCTGATCTCCGCGAGCTGATCTGAAAGACCAGGGCCGCCGGTCACAGCAGTGTGGCTCTGCTTGTAATTTACCAGTCCCAGTGCATTTTAAATCTCCACAGGCGACCAGCATGACTACAGCCTTGCACGGGAGCCAGTCGGTCGTGCAAGCGGGCTACCCCGCTGTTCCTGATGCCCTTCTTAGCATCTTGGGTTAGCTAAGTTAGCTAGTCGCTAGATTGGTTTCATTTGTCCCAACCATGTTCCAAATGTAACAACCCCACCCTCAGCTCCACCTCTTTTCCCATTTTTGGATTGTTTGGCTGTGACAAATAATCAATTGTGGGAACCTCTTATTTTTGGATTCAACTTCCCCCCAGCAGAATGAGCTATGTCCATATTTTTATATGTCGGTGTATTTATTGTGTACAAAAGTGAAAATGATATTGTCAGAACATGATAATTTATTGTACAAACCTGATAACTTATTGTAAGTTCATGAAAATTATACAGTTGTATTCGCGCACAAACAATGCTTCAAATCATGCTTTCACGTAGTTAAACAGCAAATATATCACAGCCCTAAGATGTTATAATGTAAAATGCTCCAATTAAATTTTTGCATGTGTGGCAACTCTAGGCTTCCGTACTATGCAGATGTGGTAGCACTGGTAGTCTTTTCTTGTCATCTTTAACACACTGCACAGATAAATTTAACTTCTTCATTCTAATAAACTAATTTTTTACGATATGATAACACAAATGCAGTTGACTCAAAATTTTATCATTTTTTATAACATTTTTGTATTATTTGCGCGTGTGTGCACTGACTGACAGTAATATTTGTGTGATGATTTCAGAACCAGCCTGCGGCCTACTGCCATCTGATTACTAGTATCTGCTGCTGGCATTCAGTCCCATGAACAGCTTTTAGTCACTGGCTGAGTGATATTACAGGATTCAACCTCCACATTACTGAGAAAATGAATTTTAACAGCTGATCAAATGCCATTTTTGCAACCTTCTACTGCACTGTGATTGATTCTAAACAGGACCTAAGTCTTTGTGTCTGGACCTGTGTGGACCTGTTGGCTACTGAGAAACTGAACTGTTTTCTTGTAACTTGGTTGTTTATCTGTCCCAGTGAATCTCCCAGAAACACAAAGAAGAACAATCCCTCCGCTGATAAAGTTGCGAAACCTATTTTGTTGCGAAACGAGACTTTCCACAAGTGACGTCGCCGGGGCGCATGACGTTTAAGACGGCCTTCGGTACAAAAGCTGCGTGTGCGTGACGTACAGAAACAGCCAGCCGTCTTTATTCCTCATAGAAGAGCTCTATCTTCAGCGTCTCTGATACTCTTAAGAATACTTAAAATTGAAAGAAGCAACAGCAGGCTGTCGAGTACTTACTTTCAGTTCACCATTATTTATATTTATTTATTGGCCGACAGACAACATTTACGCTGACGTTCCTTTTGTAAGGTAAGACGTGTCGGTGTTTTTCCTCTAGCTAGCTAACGTTAAGCAACCGAGCATCGAGAAGGACGTTAATCGAGGTTATCTAGTTAAATAAAAAAACAACGGATTTGCTAAGCAAATTGCTGTAGATTCCCTTAATGTTGTGAGATTGCGTGACAGACTGGCCACAGTGTAACGTTTTAAGCAGTTATCTCACCGGTAGCTTCGAGAACAAAAGCCCCAAGATGTCGCTGTGAGAACATCCGTTGTTCGAACAAAGACCCCATTAAAAAACTAATGACATTTTCCGTTCGAGTTCATCACTGACATTTGTTGTTTTATATTGTCTTCGTTTTGCTTTTATAGAGGTTTTAGGACAAATGAAATTGAAACAAGACGTTGATCTAGTATGTCGTAGCTGAAAATGGAGCATATTGGAGAACGTACAGCTGAGTACATGATGTACATTCATGAAGCGTTTGTTCCGTTGTGTGGTATCGAGGTGTCCTCGGTGTATCAGCATCTTCAGGGTTAGGATTTATCAAACTTCAGTCATAATAACGATGAAAAATCGAGCTCTTCAACAGCTTCAACCTCGAACAGCTTTATTTTCTCCGTTCTGATTTAGATGAATTAATGGATCAAGTGATGACTGGTTATTGGGATGTCTATGAGCATATTGTGCATCGTTTGGCGTTTGGTATTTGTTTACTGTAAAGAGAATGAAGCTGGTTTAAATACGTAATCGTCGTTCTTTGTGCCACTTTCATGCTAAGTTAGCATGTTAGCTCACCTACTGCCCCACTTTACACGTGTCGGCGTTCATGCGCTTGATTATTTGGTTGTAATCCACTAAGATTAAACAAATCTGGGATCTAGTAGGCACATAAAGTCAAAAAGTGGAGGAAGTAGGGTATTTTCAAGGCTTTTAAAGATCTTGATTTTCTAATAGGGCTTCAAGCGGTAATGACATTTGTAGTAGGCAAGGCAGCTCTATTTATATAGCCCATTTCCTACGCAGGGACAATTCAGCGTGGACTTCAGGCGTAACTAAAAAAAATACTGAAAACATAAAACTGCATTTTATAACCAAATTAAAATGCACAAATAATGAATTAGATTTTAAAAAATACTAAGTTGGCACACTATTAATTTTGAGATTGGCAGGGAGAAATTATTCAGTTTGATTTAGGTAAAACCGACCCTGTAAAATTGAAATATTTTAAACTAGTTAATGATCTGTTTTGTGTGCCTAAGCTCCTGGCTAACCTTTTTCTTGTGTCATTATCCCAGGTCGTTTTTCCAGCCCCAATCTTTGAACTTGATTCTTTTCGAATATTTTTTGTCAAGCCGCCAAAGTGGAGAGTGTCGTTGCACCAGGGGGACCATCTCGTTTCAGGTACTCATTACCCACCCCCACCCAGACTTCTTTGTGCTTAAATTTACCAAAATGCATTTCTCTAATTACAAGTATCTCTTTTTGATCCACAGTGTGGGGGGAGGAGGTGGGGGTGCACACCAGCACTATCCCAAGACTGTCTGCAACGGGTAATGGTCTACATCCTTTCAACACTTTTCTGCTGACGTTTGGGGTTGTTCTAGTATAGGAAGGTTTTGACCGCTTATAAAATCATGATTACTCATTGAGTTATGAAACCAAATCCAGAGTAGACCGTTTAGGCACCGTTTTATTTGTAGGTGGATAAGTGATAACCACTTTGTGCCGCGTAACCCATAAAAGTCTTTTATGAAGTATTTTTGTTACCTTCAGGCACAAACGTTGAGTTTAAATCGCAGCAGGCCATTGTGAACCTGGTTGACAGGTGTAACCCTGTAACATGTGGCTGATTGTTTTCCTGATGTTGATTTCTTCCTGTGGTGCTGAGGATGATTCTGTCCTTGCAGCGAGTTCCTGGGGAAACCCCCAGGTCCAGGCGTTCAGAGATGGATTCCTTCTCGAAGCACTAGACGAGATGTCTGCTCCTCCACTGAGAAAGGACAGCATGATGCAATCTTCAGAAAAGTGAGAGGGTGAGTTTCCACTTCAACTCGCTCACCATCAAGTGGCGCGCTTGATATTGAAGAAACTTACTTTATTTTGTAAATACTCTAACCTTTGTCATCTTTTTCAACAGCATACTCAATAAGTTGACCCCAGAGAAGTTTGACAAACTGTGTCTGGAACTCCTCAATGTGGGCGTGGATTCAAAACTTGTCCTAAAGGGAATCGTCCTTTTGGTGAGCGTTTAGATGGAAGCGGTGCTTCTGAAATTTGATTCAAATCCTTTAATGTGGTGTTTGGTTTCTTTCTAGATTGTCGACAAATCCCTTGAGGAGCCCAAGTACAGCCAGCTTTATGCCCGGTTATGTCTCCGCTTGGCAGATGATGCACCAGACTTTGACGCCATCGCAGAAGATCAACCACCAAACAAGCAAAATTCTGTGAGTTTTCGTGGACATTAGTGCTTACATTTATCACTTTGGAAATGAGTTTCTGAATAAAAATAAATAAAAAAAATTTATTCCCAGACCTTCAGAAGGCTTCTGATCTCCAAGCTTCAAGATGAATTTGAGAACCGTGCCAGGAATGTGGACCGTGAGTATAGTTGTGGTAGCTTCCTACATTCACTTGGGGGATATATATCTTATTTTCATAATTATTATTTTTTTCTACAGTCTTTGACAAACGTGATGGCCCACTCACTGCTGAGGAGGAGGAGCAGCGTGCTATTGCAAAGATCAAGATGCTGGGAAACATCAAATTCATCGGAGAACTTGGCAAACTCAATCTCATCCATGAATCAATTCTTCACAAGTGCATCAAAACAGTGAGTCTTGTCCTGCTGTACTTTTGTGTGTCTGTAGTTTCATGTGACCATTGTGGCTCCAGGAATAAAACAAGATTCACGTTTTCAGCTGCTGGAAAAGAAAAGGCGAGTTCAGCTTGAGGACATGGGTGAGGACTTGGAATGCCTCTGTCAGATAATGAAAACGGTGGGACCTAAACTCGATCATGACAAGGCTAAGGTGAGCACCTGACTATAAACCAGATCATACAATGTTTGGTCTTGTTTCGTAACAATGTAACGTTCCTCCAGTCCTTGATGGATCAGTACTTTGGTCGTATGCGATCCTTAATGAACAACAAGGATCTGCCGGCGAGGATTCGCTTCCTGCTGCAGAACATGGTGGAGCTGCGAGAGAACGACTGGGTTCCCCGCAAAGCTTACGTTGACAACGGACCAAAGACCATCAACCAAATTCGTCAAGATGCAGTGAAGGTCTGTTTGCCTGGGTTTTTAAGGTGGACTGGTACAAGCAGAATGAGGTTTTTGTCTGACTAGAATCTGTCTGCTCTCCAGGATTTGGGTGTTTTCATTCCTCCCTCAACTGATGTGTTGAAGAGTGATTTCTTTGTGGGAAACCCTTTCCTGTCAAGGATGCCGTTCGACAGGGAGCCTGTTGGTGGCCTGGCCGACATGTTTGGGCAACTGCCTGGTATGTTAGTTTCACCACCATGTGAGAAGAATGTCCTAGTTGTTAATGATTGTAGTTGTAACAGTGTTTTATTTTCAACAGGGATTGGTATTGGGACTGGTCCAGGAGTAATTCAGGACCATTATTCCCCTACGATGGGGCGTCATCGTACTAGCCCTCTCTTCAACGGCCATATTGGAAATGGGAATGGCTCGCATCAGCCTCAGTTTGAAACAGGAGGAAAACCGTTTATAAAACCAAACCAGGTACATGCACAGTTTCTTTTTCTTCTTCATTTGTTGTTGTTGTTGTTACAATAATAACACTTGTGAACTATTCCTAAAGGGGCAGAATTCACCAGTTTTTAGCCATAAACAGAATCACTCGGTGCAGATGCAGTCAAAGGACATGGCTCCAAGGTTCAGCAAGAAAGGGAAACTCAATGCTGATGAGGTACAAACACTTTGGCGTTCAGAAGCTGTGGGGCTTTTGGTCTAAAAGAACAGAATCTTAACATTTAGACTTTTTATTTTTTCTGGTTTAGATCAGCCTGAGACCTGCTCAGTCATTCATCCTGAGTAAAAATCAAATGCCGAAGCTGCAGCCACAAATGACCATGATTCCCCAAGCTGGCCCCCCTATAGGACAGGTAACCCTGGGTGTGATGTATTAGTGGTATGATGGTGTCAAGGTGCGGATGTTACAAGTTCTTTGTCTTTTTTAGCTTGGCCTCAAAACCAATCCTCCTCCTATCCAGGAAAAACCAGCAAAGTCCAACAAAAAGGCTCCTCCTACAAAAGAGGAGTTGCACAAAATGACCGTAAGTTTCAAAATGAGCCTTCCTTCCTTTGTGTGTAATACTGCACAGCTGGCAAAAGAAGAAACTGGTGTTTTGTTCCCTCTAATAGGAGACACTGGTGACAGACTACCTAAACAGCAAAAACATCGACGAGTCAGTGAATGCTGTGAAGGAGATGAAAGTTCCCAAACACTTCTTGTCTGAGATGTTGAATAAGATAATCGTCCACTCACTCAACCGGTCAGATGAGGAAAAGGAAGACGTGAGCAAACTGATCCATGCGCTCTGCGCCGAGGGTCTGGTCGCCCGTGAAAACCTTATACCAGTCAGTGTCATTTAAAATCACAGTGTACTCTGATAAAAGATGATGAAATGTTTTAAAAAAAAAAAAAAAAAACTTTTTTTTTTTCAGTCCTTTTTGGGTGTTTTGGATCAGTGCCCCAAGATGGAGGAAGAGATCCCTCTGTTGAAGTCCTACCTGGCCCAGTTTGCTGCACGAGCGGTCGTTTCTGAGCTGGCCAGCCTGGACGATTTGACTCATCAGCTTGAGAATGGGGCTCATTTCCCGCTGTTCCTGCTCTGCCTGCAGCAGATGGTCAAACTGAAGGACCGCGAGTGGCTTGGTGACCTCTTCCAGCAGAGCAAGGTCAACATGCAGAAGATGCTACCTGGTAAGTCTGAATACTGAATCCTTGTTGGTGGTGAGCAGTTTTTACAAGCTACCCCCTCACTCATTTGTCCTTGTGCAGAAATCGACCAGAACAAGGACCGGATGTTGGAGATTCTAGAGGGAAAGGGTCTCAGCTTTTTGTTCCCGCTGATGAAGCTGGAAAAGGAGTTGCTCAAACAGATCAAAGTCGACCCCTCACCTCAGTCCATCTATAAGTGGATCAAAGACAACATCTCTCCAAAACTCCACACTGACAGAGGCTTCATCAACATCCTCGTGACCAGGTAGTTAACATCTGATGAGGGAATTACTTCCTGCTTTATTTGTTTGAACCAACGGTCATCATGGTTTCCTTTGACCGGCAGCTTTCTGCAGTATGTTGCCTACGAGATCAATCCTGATGACGACGAGGAGCTCTTTGCATCACCAAGTAAAGAACAACTGGACGAAGAGAAGCAGCTGTTGCTGTCTTTCAAGCCAGTGATGCAGAAGTTTCTCCATGACCACATTAACCTGCAAGTCAGTGCTCTGTACGCTCTGCAGGTGCATTGCAGTGCCAAGGGATTCCCCAAAGGTGTGTGTGTGGTGTGTTTATTGGTTTCTAAGATTTTCGTGGTATTCATGTCTAATCTTTTTATTTTTTTTGTAGGCATGTTGCTGCGCTACTTTGTCAACCTTTACGACATGGAAATAATCGAAGAAGAAGCCTTCCTGTCATGGAAAGAGGATGTCAACGAGGAGTTTCCAGGGAAAGGGAAAGCATTATTTCAGGTAGGTCATCGTAACATTTGTCAAAAGGGCCTTGCATCGCTGCAGTTGATTGTGAAAACAGAAGATTTGCTCAAAAATAATTTTATAATTGATATATAATTTTTTTTATGCAGGTGAACCAGTGGCTGACCTGGCTGGAGACTGCTGAAAATGAGGAGTCTGAGGATGAAGATTACTGAGAACTAGGCCAAAGCCATGTGTTATTACAATGCAATGAGTGATTATTTAGCATCTGTTTTTTTAGCCTCTTGTCTGACTTGTTACGTTTTACTCCACCATGAAATGTTTTGCCGAATCTCAGCAGTTTTAACATCTTACTGCACTTTCTAATCTCATTCAATGTTTGCAGCCATGTTGAAACATTTCATTCATCTTAAGATTTACTGCAACAGTGTTTTCAGGGAAATTCATCATCCCTGGTCAGATTAAAAATCCTAAAACGGTTTACAAAAGATCAAATGGAAACCCCTCTGAGGTTTTTGTGTTTTCCTGATTTAAAGTCGAGTTAGATGCACTTTGCTTAACATCATGAGTCGTTGCAATAGTAATATTAGGTGCTGGTGGCTTTTATTTTTGCTTGTAGCCAACGTTCTTGCACACTATGACTCGCATTTAGCTGAACGGATCAAGCTTTTGTGTGTGAAATGTTTTTGTGCTGTTGGGAATGAATCAGTGTGGCCTTTTAATTTATCATTCATATTATACCTCTGATGTGGCTGACTACACTTGAATGTCTTGGGTTTTTTATTTTAACATCTAGACAGCCAAAGCGCTCTGCTGAGGTTGTTCACTACTTGTGGAAGTTTTACATCTGTTTGCAATATTTGTAAAGTTCTTAAAGGGTCTTTTTATCTTCATGAAATAATAACAGAATGTTCTGTATGTGTACACTTCCACCTTATTGGGTCTCACTGTAACCTTAAGTGTACAACTACAGCTCAGCTTTCAATAAAGTTTGATTGTTTATCCCTGTGTTTTTATTCTGGAGAGAAAAGCAACTGGTTTCTTCAAACTTAGCTTTATTGGAGGTTTATTTACATGAAGTTTGTTTTGGATTACCAGACATCCTGCACAAAATCCATGAAACCATGTAAGATTTTTGTACATCTGTTGGTGAAATCTGAACCTTTTTTTTTTAAAGCCAACACCAGTAGGATGGAAATGGTGCTAAACTAGCCTAAATCTGTAGAAGAGACTTTAGACTAAAGAATCCATGAGTTGAGCATTCAGAATTAAACTGCTCAATGATTTATTTACTCGCTGTCGTCCTCATTGTTAGACCCCTCCTGTTCTGATCCGTTGTCAGAGCGGCGTGGGGAGCCCCCGGTGTCAGACCCAGCCTCAGATCCTCTGTCTGATGCGACGACCGGGGAAGCAGGCCTGGAATCATCATCTGATCCTGACTGACTCCTCTTGCTCTCGTTGTTGGACTGTTCCGAGTCGGACTGCACTTTCCTCTTTTTCACGGGGCGATCGCTGCCCGACTCATCATCCTCCGAGCCAGCAGGGCGCCGAGGGCTGCCAGCTTCGCTGCCGGAGCTTTTCTTTCCTCCATCAGAGTCGCTGTCAGATGCGATACGCTTCCTGTGGCCACCCTCTTCGTCAGATCCCGAGCCACTGTCCCTTTGTCTGTTTGGGGGGAAGTACCTGTGAACATCTGCCTCGTCGTCGATTTTGTGAGAGAAGATTTAACATCTTACCTGTCTTCAGCTATTTTCAGTCCATCCTCATCTGATGAGGATTCAGAAGATGAGATGATCGCCTTGGATTTGATCTTTCCTTTAAGAGATGGCGGCATTCGCTCAGGCTGAGGCTGGAAAAGGGGAAACATTTCAGAACAAAGACATTTGTTTTAATGGACTTGAGAACAGAAAACAGAAGGAGAAAACACCTTTTCTGCTCTTTTGCGTCCTTCTTTAAGTTTACGCTGCTTCTTCGGTCGAGATGCTCCCTCATCATCGCTGTCGTCTCCTCCTTTAGTGGGTCTGAAACAAGACACCGTTACCCCGCTGGCAAACAAACAGTTATCCGTCTCTGCAGCAAAGCTCACCTCCTCCTCTTCTTTTTCTTCTCTCCATCCTCGTCATCATCATGCTCACTGCTGCTGCCCTTTCTCTTCTTCTTCTTTTTCAGTGGTAGGTCCTCATCGGAATCATCGTTAACAAAGTCGTCCGTGTCGCCCCCTTTCTTACGCTTAGAGATGAGAAAGGACAGCGTTATCCTCTTCCCCAGTGCAGTTCTAAAGTTTAATAAGAGTCTGTAGACACTCACACGTCCTCCACCTCCCTTCTTCTTCTCCTTGGAAGCCTCTTTGAGCCCTTCTGCAAAGGTGAGCAGGTTCTTCGTCTTCTCCACGAACAAAGCTCTCTGCTCCAGGAGCTTCTTCTGCTCCTCCACCTCTCGCTTTTGCTTTTCTTCCTGAACAATTTGAGAACACACCCCATTAATGGACATGAAACTTAGGCCCTGTCCACACGTAGCCGGGGATCTACCAAAACGTAGATATTTTTCTACGTTTTGGCCTGTCATCCACACGAAAACGGAGTTTTTTCACATGAAAACGGATCTTTTTTAAAAACTCCGGCCAAAGTGAAGATCTGCGTTTTCTCCGTTTTGGGTGTCTGCGTGTGGACAGACAAAACCGGAGTTTTAAGGTCCGCAACGTCACTTTCCGCGACAAAAAAATGCTGACATCACGTGTGCGACCTGTGTTTACACTAGCCGACAGCATGGATGCCCTCAGAGCTGCGCTCGCTTTATCAATTGTCCAAGCGCTTTTTGCTTGTTTGTTTTTGCAAGCGGAATTACTGCTCCTTGCGGAAGACCACAGACGAAGGACGAGGTTAAGAACGGGGGAAGTACTGCCGCCTACAGGTCTGGCATGTCCTTAACAACGTATTTATCCGGGTACATGTGGACAGTTTTTTTTTTTTAAACAAGGTGGTGTGGATGCAAGTTTTTGGAGGGGCGGATATTCGTTTAAAAAAAAACGGCTACGTGTGGACTAGGCCTTAATTTTGTAGAGAAACAGAGTTATTGTCAAAATTTGACAACAATACTTGTTCTTTTAACAGCTGCTGGCGCAGCAGATCCCTCTCCTGCTCTTGTTTGGCACGAAGCTCCTTCTCCTCTTCGTCCTGTTTTCTGGCTCTAGCAACGTGGTACTGAGCCTGGCTCAGAAGGTCGGAGCACTGCCTGGATTCACACAGAAACGATCGCAAGTTACATCACAGCAACGTATTCGTGTACGTAGATGAGGAATCTCAACAACTCACCTGGCCTCTGATGCAGCAAGAGCGAGATCAAACCTCATCTTGTCTCCAGCTTTGCTGAGGTAGCTGAAATATCTGGGAGGAGGAAGAGAAACTCCGTCAAGAGGACGATCGACTCCAAGGCCGGGGTACAAGTCGTATCGCTACCTGTGAGCCAGCTCCAGCTCTTTGACGGCGCTCAGCACAGCCTTCAAGTTGCTCTTCTCGTCTTTCAGCACTAGAGTGGCCAGTCTCTGCAGCACCAGGGCCACGTTGAACATCAGCACCGTGTCGCTGGGCGCCACGTGCCGAGCCTGGAAGAGCAAACGTTACAAAACCATCCCCTCGTGTTGTTCGGAACGGACGCTTTTCTCCGACATCTACCTTCAGCAGCATCTGTTTGCACTCTTGGAGCTTCCCGCATTTGAAGAGCGCTCTCGCTAGATACAGCAGCACCTCGGTGTTTTGATATTTGTAGAATTTCTTCAGACAGTTTTCGTACTGCGAAAAAGACAAAACACTCCATTGTTCTGAAAAGAACAAATATGAACACAAAGACCGCGAGGATCTCTTTACCATCTGCACGGCGCTGATGTATTGCTTCTGTTCCACGTAGATGTGAGCCAGGTTGAGCCAGACGTCGCTGATTTCTGCCGTGGCTTCCCTCACCTGAGCAAACACGTCCCGCGACTCTCGGAAATAACCTTTATGGGCGAGCACGGCACCTGGACGGACGGTTTCCCGTTGTTATTACAAGTTAAACGCACAAGAGAAAGTAGGAAAACAAACAAAAAAAAAACAGAGGAAGCTTTAAGTACCAATGCCGTTGGCTGCATAGAGGTTCTTGGCATCGTTTCGCAGAACTTGTTTGTAAATTGCCAGCGCTCGGTCCTGATGTCTCTTTTCCTGTGGGGACAGAAATGCTGCTAATCAATCCTGGTGTATCGTTTCTCCTCACACAGACCAACACCGAATTCAGGATTTCACCATGGAGATGACATCACTCGCTGACAAAACGAAAAAGAATCTGCACCGCTGACAAATGATGAAAACATGACTCAGCATGTTTACGTTCCAAAGATTAGAAAAATACACCAGGGGGGCGTCTTCAGGAGTTCTCAGGGATAAGTGACGGAAAAGGTTATTAATGCAGCACCTGTCCAGATAAACATCACGATCACAAACACAAGCAGGAAGAGAAAATACAGGGAAAGGAGCGGATCAACTCTTCATCTTTCTGACATGACGCACAGATAAAATAAAAATACTTCAGTACATTAGGAGTTTTTTTTTTTATAGTTTTGATCATGAGACAACACAACTACATTTTAGAAAAATTACCAATTTATAAATTACCACCTAAATAATCCTAAAGGCCGATATTAAGACAAACATATTGGTTTCCTCTTATTTAAAGCTCTTATTCACTGGCTTTATCCATACATCTGCTGGGGTCTTCGAGTCTACATTTTGCTCTGATGTCGGTCTGGCAACGCTCCACTGGAACCGCCGCAGCCCCGGCCAGTATTGTGGCTGGCCAATCACAGCGCGTTTATTTAGAAAAAACTATATTTTATGTCTTCTCCCACAATGTAATGGCAGACTGCCCCGTTGACTGACATCCGTAGCGGTCCAATCACGGCCCTGCTCGTTTGAAACTCTCAACTATTTAGACTTGGGTTTTTTATTCTTTGAGTCAAGAGCCAATAGAGGTACTTGAGTTTATTTAGAAAAAGGATGTTTTTGCATCATCTTTGAAGGAACATGGCGGACTGCCCTGTTGACTGACATCTGCAGCGGTGAGTACGTCACGTTGAGCCGTCAATGGACCGTGGCCAGACTATATATTCACATATGTAGGATGGTTTGACAGGCTAGTGGTCTCTAGGATGAATGGATCAATGAACGTGAATGCAAGTCATTTTCTGTAGAAAAAAGCTCTGGCGCTCCTCTTTAGGAAGTGGAAGTTAGTACGTGTGTCTTACTCATTGAGATTCATAATATTCGAACGTCTCGCCTCTGATTGGTTAACAAATGCGATTTCCGGTGCTTTCGTTTGCTCGTCTGTCTTGGGTAAAATAATGCAACGTTGATGTTTTTTCTCCACAAATGACACAAGCCTGACCATGTTCCGCCATGTTGCAGAGCTGCTAATGCTAATAGTTAGCTTCTACTAGCCAAAAGGTGCTCTGCTCTCTCCTGGATGCTAAAACAACAACAAAAGCCTTCTGCAGCTGGAAGCTGAGGCGGGCAAGGCCACGAATAGACTTTTCCCTGTGATGTAGATCTGCGGCTAATGCAGGTGACGGGGGTTGAAGAGAATCAGTGACCAGTCGTACTTCTAAAATAACAGGTATTACAGCTTCTGACTGAAACAAGCCTTTTAAAGGGTTCTCTACATCAAGAATGTCTGATAACGTTTACGTCTGAAGTCATAAACTGCTGAGCACCTCTGTGAAAGAAGAGGAGAATTACTGATCGACATTCAGGCAAGTAGGTCAACAAAAACAACAAATAAGTGACATCTGTACCTTTTCACGGTCTCTGGTGGGCTGATGCAGCGTCTGCAGCCACACGTTACCCAGAGCCAACATGGAGTACGTGTCATTCTGAGTGGACGGCTGTTTCAGAATACGCTCAAACTTCTTTTGACCCGGCCCCCATTCCTGTTTGGCTAAGTGAAGGTTTCCGATCAGAGACCAGGCATCTGGGTGATCCTGCAACAGCACACAGAAATGTCATCAGATGACGTCAGAGAGGTTTTGCATCAGACATCAGGTCACACACAAACAGCCTCATACCTGATTGATCTGCAGCGCTTCTTTGAACCAATCAGAAGCTTCGTAGAAGTTCCCTTTGTCACGAGCCATCGCTCCGAGGCGCAAATAACCTGAAAGTCCACAAAGATGTTTGTCTTTTTACAAATACCTGCCTTGTTACCTTGCATTTTCTATGCTTACAGTCGACATAGTTGGGATGTTCTCTGAGGATGTTTTTGTAGAGTTTTTCAGCCTCGTGGAATTCACACATAGCTTCATACAAACGTGCCAGATTGTAGGAGGTGGTGACAGAAATAGCGTTGTAATAATGCTCGTCGTGCTCTCCCTCAGCTTTGGCTCGATCCAGGGAAGCAAGAAAATATTTCTGTTGGAAGAACAAACACACTTCAACATTGGAATGGTACCTTTCTGGACAGTTTGTGACAATAAACACCAAGTAAAATAAAAAGTTGTACGCATCATTCTGCTGTTCTTCAAGCTTGGTTTGTGCTTGACGCATTCACTTTCCGCGCGGTGATGCGGCTCGCGGATGGAACGTGCTTCACAACTTGCAGCGTTTATGGTTCATGTGGCTTGTCTCTGCGGTGAGCCAATATTCTCCCAAACTGTAGGGGGCAGCATGGAGCTCTACGGCATGCATCCAACACTACACCATAGTAGAAGTAAATATTACTGTTGTTTACAACATGGCATTCCAGCATTTTTTAACAGCATCCTCATCTTTTCCGACAGTGCGAGCTATTTCTCTCCAAGAATTATTAACAGCATGTTGATCACGGTGATCTCTGAGAGCTGAATCATACACATGTCTGTATTTACGAACCTCTGCCATACTAGCTCTTGCCAGTCCGCCATGTTTTTCCGCGTCCGACCGTCTGCGTGGTTAGAAAATTTCCTAGGTGCGCGGTGCGGAAATTTTGGGCCGAGCGGAGGTGCGGTGGAGGGGCGTGGTTGTTAAAATGATGCAATTTCGCCGCGCGGACGCATCAAGCATAAACCAATCTTCAGGCTGCTGTAGCAGCAACTGGTGGAACGGTGTGGCGTCCGTTACCTTCGCTTCCCCTAAGTTTCCCAGTCTGAAGTGCAGAGCCCCCAGGTTGTTGAGGATCTCTGGGGGGACGTCCGCCTGCACCTTCTCCTGCAGGATGCGAGTGGCTGTGCCGTACGCCGACAGCGCACCTTGGATGTCCGTCTGCTCCAAGATCTGAGCCAGTTCAATCCATGCTTCCACATCATCTGGATACTGCTCTGTCACCTTCTTCAAGTGACCCTGAGAAACAAAAACATGAACCATATCTTAAACGACCACATGCATCGCTCCCATTGCTGTGAAATGAGATGAGGTGGAAGGAGCCTACTTTTGCGATGTCTCTCTTCTCCTGATCGTCAGATGCCGCATAGAGGGAACCCAGGATTTTCATGGTTTCATAATTGTTGGGGTAGGCCTTTAAAACCTTCTCAAAGCACTGTGCTGCATTTTCCTTGTCTCTACGATACACATACATTTGTCCCAAACCGAAGAAGGGCAGCACAAAGGTGGATGAGGCAAACTGAGTGGCCTGGTAATAATACTGAAACGCCTGGTCATAGTCCTCCTAAAGAGAGAGAGAAAACGTTGAAGCCTCTGAACGACTGGTCTCCTGAGTGACTTTAGGCCAGGATCTCACCTGAACGTGAAACGAGCGCGCTAACTGATAGCAGCTCTCAGCCTGCATGGCTTCGACCTCCGTGTTGTGAAAAGCGTGCAGGGCCAGATGCTGCACTTTACTGTAGTCCTGACAGGGAACACAAACAGTTACAGGAGGAAGATTTAGGCTTGCATCAGGATCATAAAGGAGAACGTCGATTACCTTTTTGAAGAAGAAGTGGTTGGCCAGGTGGTTAAGCACCATGGGGTTGCTGGGGTCGATGGTGTAAGCCCGCGACAGGAGCTGAACTCCGTTCTTGATGGAGTCCGCCTCTTTGTTGTTGAGCTCTAAAACCGCCAGACCCACCAACGCTCCCACACACTTGGAGTTAAGCTCCAGGGCTCGACCGAAAGCCAGGCGGGCCTTCTCCAGTTTGTTGAGCTTGACAAAACAGTGGCCCATCCCCAGCCTCACCTCCGCTAGACAGGAAAGAAGAGTTCAGTTACAGTAATGCCCGTCTGAGCCACACGATTCAAGAGGTCCTCTAGTAGCGTTTACGTCAAACAAATGAAAAGTTTAGAATTTTATTTTGATTAATGGAAATTAGTGTATGTGAAACGGTCGATTCACCAAATTTTGTTTGAATTAAGTTTACAATGCTCCAACTATGACTCCTGATTTAACACTACTTTCATTTTCATTCAGTGCTCCATTGATTCTTCCATTTGGCCTTTTAGCAACTAGGGGCTGCACCACTTAATTTTTTTTTAAAGTCGACAGTCAAGTAATGAAAATCGAGTCGACTTTGACTAGTCGTTGATGATGTCATACACCTGAAGCGGCGGGGGGTGGGGGTCATTGTTTCGCTGGAGTTTTTGACAATTAAAATTGCGCCCACATTTTCTAAGTTAAACACGTTTCTTTTAACAACGGTAGTTTCTACTTCAGCCATCTCCCCCCTCCCCAGCGGCCGCAAACTCACTGATGCGCCTGCAGCCTCTCGGAGTTCCTGCTGCTCTAAACATTAAAATAATTATTTCATTTTCTGTTCCTCACTTCTGATTACCTTCAATGGTATCTGTTTGTTGCAACCACCAGGTACAAAAACTAACTTGTTTTTATTTGACTATTTTTCTGTCCTGTCTCTGTTTATTATCTTCCTGCATCTCCTCTCAATCCTAAAGAAAAACTGCTACCTGGGTTCATATATATTCACCTCATGAGTTACCTTTGAACTGCAGTTCTAAAAGATCTACCGACCGCAAAAACAGTGGAGTGCCGCTGCTTGCCGACCGCACCAGTGAGGTGAAGTTATCGGAGGACAAAACAGGTGATGCGCCCCACTCCACAGCAGTGAAACGCATCAGGCACAAATAAAAGACAGAAAACATAAAAGGAAATGAGCCGACATGAACGATCGTGTGTTAAATTAGTTTTTGAGGTGGCGACACCTGATTTGATAATGTTACTGTGGCCGTGCTCAGGACGCAGATGTCTGGAGCGCATCAACAATCAGAGCTTTGCATACGCACGCTGGTTAAGGTTAGGATGGGGATGAGGGGAAGGTTAAATTGTAAGAGGGTCAACGTCACAAATTGGTTAAATGCCCGTTTTACCGCGGATGTCAGTACCGACGCTCTGGCACAGCGCGTTGCCTCCTGACGCGCAGGAGCTTGTCACCTGCTGTCTTTTCCGAGGACTGCATATTGTCGCTCATTATCACATGACAGCGACTAGTCGATGACAGGCATAAAAAGTCACTACAGAGCAGTGAAGTCGACTAGTCGACCAGTTCATACAACCCCTATTAGCAACACTTGTGATGCACAGATATGAACTTTTTGGGCCGATACCGATATCTGATATTAATAGCACTGTTATGGCCGATAACCTATATTTGCCGTTACCGATATACTGACATTAATGCTTGAAATCTGCAGATTTTGTATAGAATGAAAATGATTGAAACTGAAAAAAACGTTATGTACACACAAACATTTACGCTTCTGAGATTATTAAAATCACTGTCACATGACTAACCCCCCCCCCAAACAGATAAATGGAAACATCCATCAATTTTCTGACATTGATGGTGATATATTTGGCATCCCTAAGCAATACTATAATACCTATGTCTATGAGCAATACCCAGATCATCCATTTCCTTTATAAGTAGTGAAATATTCGACTCAGCCTTAAAAAAATGTAACTTGTATACCTGGACAGCCGGGGTTCGTACGTAAAGCCTTTTTGTAGTACGCCAGTGCTCCTTTGTAATCTTTTTTGTTGAAGGAGATGCAGGCCTTACCTGTTAAACAACACAATTGTAACCCATCAATAACAGAAGCCAAAATCAATATTGTGTTTCGTTTTTTCTCACTCAACCTACCAAGCAAAGCGGGAATGTTATTGGTGGACTGGTTGAGTACAAAGTGAAACTGAGCATCAGCCTGGTCCATTTTGTCTCCCTCCAGCAGGCAGAAACAGGCTCGCCCCAACAAATGGTTCTGATAGAGGCAACAGCATTTTATGTTCACATGCCTGTTGTTTATTTATTTATTTTTTACAGAAATTAAAACACATACCAGAGGATAATATTTTACCAACCTGGTCATACATGATAATCTTGTCTGCCATGGTATAAAGCAGGGTGGCCTGTGTGATGAGCTCTTTCTTGGCATCTTTGTTTTTCTCTTTACGAGCTTGCTGAACATAGTAAGCTGCCAGCGTATCCAGACACGTCATCTGGTCCTTCTCGTGGTCTCTGTAGTCGAGGTTTCCATCGATACGCGCTGCTTCCAAAAGCTTGACAAAGTCCTCTGTTTTACCCTGCTTGTAGTACTCCAACTGAAAAAGACAGGATGTACAAAGATTTTGAACTTGACACTAATTTACATCATTACCCACCCCCATTTCAGTTTTATTCATACCCATAATCCCACAAAGATGATACTTTTCTACATAATTAAGTTCCGTTTTTAATTGGCTGAATCATTTCGATTATTTAAAGAAAGGCTTTTCGGAAATTTACATAAAAACATTAAGACAACGATTGCACGTTAGACTCACCGCCAAAGCGATCCAGATGTGCAGCTGCGTATGTTCCTGCTTCAAGATACTGATGACCTCGTCTCCCTCTGGCAACTGATCGAAATCGAGCTCGATGACCTGCACAAAACAACGTGTTTAGATTATAAAGATGAAAACTTACATCTATGATCACCATCATCAACTTTATTTATTAAGTGCTTTCCATCAGCCAGGAGGCAAACCAAGGTGCTGTACACGCATAAAAGAATTTAAAACATCACTGCCCCATGCAAGGGCCAACAAAATATACATGAAAACAAATCAAAGCAGGAGATAAAAGCAAAATATGTTGGTAAATGAACAAAATAAATGGATAAAAATTTGCTAAATTAACTCAAAGTAAGTCTAACTAACATGCTGATAGAACGCCACAGCATAAAAGTGTCTTCATCCGACTTAAAAACCAACTATGCATTAAATTCTTAAAAGATGGATGGAAATTATTACAAGTAACCACATTGTTTCATAAAAAAAACTAAATGATAAATTAATCAAAAGACAATCAAAAGCTTTCATAGCTGCATTTTTATTGTACAAAAATCAGGAAACATTCTGTTTAACATATAATCCTTTAAAACACCACAAACAACAACCGTAGAAGTAGTTTCATATACTGATACTATAAAACTACGGCAGTTACATTAATCCAAAGTTTAGTTTTTGGTTCAAGTTTGTTTAAATCTAAATTTTTACGGTTTTGGTTACAGGTATGATACAGTTTGACTGTTTTATACCTGTTGCCATGAACTGCACCTTGACTAGCCTCTTAGCAGATGCGTTTGTATTAATGAGATAAATATGCTATTACAGGTTTACATGATGCTGACCAAACAAAAATAACTTTCTGCACCATTCTCACTCAGTCATTCTCATTTTAAACGTTACCATCAGACATAAGGTACGACCTATTTATTAGTTTAGACCAAACATTATATTTGACTTTTTTGGGTTAAAAGTCCACACAGAAAAACAACCCGGTCTTTTAATAACCTACAGTTGTTTCCCAAAGCCCTGCAGCATTTTAACTATCGTAGTAGACTCAAATGTTATATAAAAATAAAAAAAGTAAAACCAATAAATGAACAAAAGTACCGACGCAATCCGTCAACTAGCCGCCAGGGGTTAGCTTAGCACGCTAACATCACAGCGAGGTGTACCATGTAAACATCTGCACCGAAATAAACACACGGTTCATCTTTTACCTCATCTGTGTCCCGTAACGGGATCTCTATGGAGCCCCGAGACATCCTGAAGTTGAAGGGCGAATCCCTCAAAAGTTAAATTTAATTTTAAAATGCACAAACTATCCCTCTTTAGGTAGCTTCCGTTAAGAAACAAGCAAACGGATAGTGTAACTGGAATTACGTCCGGCTGGTCTGAAAGACTCATAAAGGGTTCCCCAAGATGTTTTAGATGTACCGATCCATGTCTATGGTTTTAGCATAAAAATACGAAAACCTAATTATAGGAAAAATATTCTTTGTACAAAATTAATATTTTGTACGTCACTGAATTGCTAACGGGCATATTTTGTGCTTTCAAATTGAGCACAATGGTTAAAGTGTTTTTATCAAACAAAAAAGAAAAGTTTTAAATGTTACTTTGTGCTTTGTGCCTCAAAGCTCTGCAGAGCAACATTTTAGCAAAGAGGGGGAAAAGGGGGAGGAAGAGAAGACAGATGGGAGAAAAGCGATGTCAGCTGTTTTTGACATGAATTAAGCCAAAAGAAAAGCGCAGATGACTTCATGTTTCACCACACAAGTAGCCACCTCAACTCCACTTTAGCATCTTCATTTGCAGAAGACCTGACTGGACAAAGAAAAGTAAGGATTTAATTTAGACTTTTTCATAGATAACTGACATTTAGAGTAACAATATAAATATTTTTACCTTTATATATGACATCTAGAAGCGTTATCATCCTTGCAGCAAGTTGGTTAAAATGTTTGTTTGTTTTTTAATTAGTTTAAGATTTCATTGTTGATTTTCTTGTAAACATTCCTATATCTGTTGATTTTGGAGTCATAGGAGTCATCAGGAAATTCTTTCTTGGAGGCTTTTATTTTGAGAAAAATCACAATGTCTGACAGCCATGATGGTGAGTTTTTCACAGCAATGATAAACTTCTTGTGTGTGAATATGAAAATTGAATATCTACTCATGCATATTTACTTTGAAGTTCTGGAGTCCCCCAGCTGTGGGACAGGAGCTGCTTTTGAGGACGTTACAGACACAAACAGAGTCTCTGAGCTCATCGATGTCACGTACACAGCATGCAGCACCAACACAGGTGACTCAGCATATATATTCACCAGAACACGACTTGACAGTTGTGTGTATAATTTTTCATTTTCTTCTTATCTTAAGGAGAAGTGTTGGCCTCCACAATCACTCGGTATCTACAGACGCTCACGGTTCAGAGCCCAGATCAGGACAGACTGGACTCCTTGCAGCGGCTGCTTGATCCGGACCTTCAGGACCCACATGTGAGCAGAGAGACGTTCCACTCTGTCATGAGGGAGTGGATCACTCAGTGCAGTCAGGACAGGTGAGGCTGGTTTCAGAAGACAGAAGATGTTTAAGTGTTTTTGTTTGTTTGTTTGTTTTATGAGCAACCACTGAGTGTTTCTCACTGCCTCTCATCCATCAGCTCTGATGCAAATGACTGTCATGTTTCTTGGCCGTCCTCCTCTGAAATATCCATAAATGGTAAAAATCTCTCTTTTGTTCAGACTTCTGAGAAATTAATAAAAGTTTATGATAAATGTTCATTTATTTATTTTTTTCAGGACTTGCGCTGTCATTTTCTGAAACCAGAGCAGACTTCCCAGAGATCCAGAGTTCCTGGTCAGTTTGCCTGTCTGCCATCAGTCTGTTCTTGTGCTTCATCACTTATGAACTGTGTGTGTGTGTGTGTGTGTGTGTGTGTGTGTGTGTGTGTGTGTGTGTGTGTGTGTGTGTGTGTGTGTGTGTGTGTGTGTGTGTGTGTGTGTGTGTGTGTGTGTGTGTGTGTGTATTTAGGGCTGGACAGGACGTGTCAGACACAGTAGCTGAACTGAAGAATGCTCACCACAAGTTGAGCGAGCAGAACCGCAGCCTATTGGTGATTCTGGAACAGAGTGAAGATGTAAACCTGCAGCTCAGTCTGGAGATAACGGAGCTACAAGCAAAGCTGGCCAGGTGAAGGAGCGGTTCCTGTATTCTCTTCATGTTCAGAATCTCCACAAAATAAATGAATTACAATGATTTATTTTATTATTTAAATTCACAGATGACACAATATAGAATAAAGAATGTGAGATGCATTTAATCATTGCAAAAATAACCAAAATCAGCAGCTTGGTTTGACTCTGCACAGTGGCGCACCCAGTTTTTTAATAGAGGGGCCAGTGACAAATCTGGGTTATCACACCAAATTTCCCCTTGTGGGTTTAGCCATGGGGTGCTCAAATATAAGAGGCCAAGGGCCACATTTAAAATTTCCGATGAGCTTGAGGGCCAGTTCGACGGGAGAGGCTGGGGGGGTCTGCCTATTGAGTGCCACTGGTTTAGCATGTGGTGATGCATCGCATCCTCCTTTATTCTTTTTTTTAATTAAAAAAGAAAAACAGTATGCTTCCAACAAGGCTAGTGGGTTGTGGAGCAATTTTCTGGCCACCCCTTGAGGGCACCACTGACAGTGGGCTGCTAATAGCCACAGGTAGTTAAAAGATCTGATTTGAATGCAAATTGACATTTCAAGAATTATAATTACTGAAAGATAAAAAATTATTTAATTATTTCTGAATCACTTGAAAAATAAAATTATTTTGCTTGAATAAATTTAGTGATCGTGCATTTATGGCATAAATAAGTTGATCTAAGGAATGAAGGTAGAAGTTGAAACCAAAAGGAGCCACAGCACCCTCTAGAAGGCTGACAGCAGTATAGGATTTAAGCCCCATCCCTCCCATGAGAACAGATGGAACATTGACCTGATTAAAAAATAAAAATATCCTTCCACCTTGTCCACGTGGGTCACGGGGGGGGGGGGGGGGGGGGGGGGGGTTGGGTCTGGTGCCTATCTCTGACGGTCAATGGGCAATCAGGCGGGGTACACCCTGGACAGAGCCAGTCCATCGCAGGGCAACACACAGACACACAGGACAAATAGTCACACACACTCACACCTAAGGACAATTTAGACAGACCAATTAACCTAACAGTCATGTCTTTGGACGGTGGGGGGAAGCCGGAGTACCCGGAGAGAACCCACGCATGCACAGGGAGAACATGCAAACTCCATGCAGAAAGATCCCAGGTCGGAAAGCGGACCCAGGACCTTCTTGCTGCAAGGCAACAGCTCTAACCACTGCGCCACTGCGCAGCTCAACATAAAAACATACATCGGATTATCTTTTTTTTTATTTTATTCATGTTGATTCATGTAGCTTTATTAGCTTTAAATGACACGTTTAGTTTAATTTGTAATTAGGCATTTTAAACATCTTGGGAGGTACTTTCACTAATAATAAAACACAGAATTTCTCAGGAACAAAAAAAATCACAAACTTTCAAAGCTCTGGATGCTTTTTGTAAGGAAAACATCAAACAGGCCCACAGCTGTGCTGCCATTCATTCTATCAAACACTGCAACACAAAAGTTTAACAAGAAATAAAACTTTATTTTAACACTAAAAATTAACGAGACGAGAAGACGCGAAGCCAGTAAAGGCGTGGTAATAAACAACAAAAGGAACTAAATAGAGGAGACTGATCGCCAAGACAGGAGGAGACTGGAAAAGATTCTTTGGATAAATATTCCTGTCAGTTCGGATGCCTGTTCGGGGAATATGTCGTGTTTGGGAATCTTTGATAAATTAGACAAGTTCACCTTCTTAAGCAACAGATCTGATTGCAGATCCTTTAGGGTGAAGTTATTAAATCAGTCTCCTTATGGTGTAGTGCTCAGCGGTCAGCCATCAGAACCAGGTCCCTGACAGAAGACCTGGAGGAGACCCGTCAGCTGCTGAAAGAGGCTCAGGAGAGAGCTGGTCACACTCAGAGACGCTTCACAAAACTGGTAGCAAACATCAGAGAAGTTCACAAAATAACACAGCTGCATTTCTGTTTTGAGCTTCTATTTACCTGCTTTTTGTTTTTTAGACCAGTGAAATCGATGATCTAAAGGGTCATGTCAGAAGACTTGAAGACAAAGTAATGTAGATCTTTATTATTAGATCTATGTTTGCCTTTGAAACGTTAAAACTTATTGAATTTTATGTCACGTTGAAGTTATTTTTTATTCACACAGAACAGAAAACTCGCCTTTGAAAGATCACTGATGGACGAGAGTCTGAACAACCTGAGGAGGGTCAACTCTGAGTTGAGGGTATGATGGAACGAGCATCTGCGTGTTTGTATGGAAGAGCCTGATTTCCCTGTGTTTGCAGGCCGAACGTGAGAGAGCCCTGCTTACATTAATGCTGAGAAACAGAGAAGTAACCAAGGTCAAATTTTTTTTTATAATTTAAAGAAAAACATACGCACTCATAAGTGTCATTTGTGTTTAGTTTTATAAGAAATGTTGTTGTTCAGAGAGACATTGTGATGGAGAAGATGAAAACCTCCCACATGGAGAATCACAAAATGATTAAGGTACGTCTGCTCATTACAGAAGTTTGCTGTTGTTTTGTGTAACAGCTGATTCACAACTGCGTTGTTGTGTTACAGGGTCTGCAGTCGGAGCTGACGAGGTTACAGGAACATTCACGCCAGATTCTCTTCAGGTACGTTCTTAAGCGTGGTCTCACTGCGCTGTGGGGCTTTTCATTAAAGCACATTTCTTTCAGAAGTATCTGAAATGAACCAGTTTGTTAATATTGTACCAACTGTCAAAATCAGTAGCCAAAACACAAAATGTATTCATTCATTTATTTGTTTATCATTAACCCTCCCACTGTCTTCACGGGTGATCCCGCGAGGAAAGTGTACCATTGAGCAGGATGGATGGTTTATCCCTTGAGGTCCACGTGGCAGGGGTGAGGAGTGAGCACCACCTCACCACTGCCACGTGGACCTCAAGGGATAAACCATCCATCCTGCTCAATGGTACACTTTCCTCGCGGGATCGCCCGTGAAGACAGTGGGAGGGTTAAATGCTTGTGGATATGAAGAACAACTAAAACATCTTAAAGGCACACTTGGCAGTTTTGGCTTGCTTTAACCACCCCCTAGTGTCTGTTTAATGCAGGCCCCCCTAGTGTCTCTGGAGGTTTCTTCCTGTTAAAAGGGAGTTTTCCTCTCCACTGTCGCTTTATGCTTGCTTAGTATGAGGATTGCTGTAAAGTCACTGACACTAGTCAGTGACTTGATGCAATTTGCTGGGTTCCTTACATAGGAAACATTATTTCTGATTGGCTTAATGAACTGACCTGAATTGGAATGTTTATTATGTGAAGTGCCTTGAGACGACTTGTCATGATTTGGCGCTATATAAATAAACTTGAATTGAAAACTTGAATTGAAGTTTAGTAGAACCAAAAGTGAAACTCATCTCCTTGCTGTGCGTTCATCTTTTAAACGCCTTAATCTGAAAGCTGGAAGTCTCCACAGCCTTCATTAGTGTCTACAGGAGCGATTCATCACTAAATTAAACATATCAACTGTGCTCATTATCTAAAACATGCAGGAAACATGCTGGAAGCAAACTACAGAGCCTAGTATTTCAGCTCCATTTATTCTAGATCCAACAGGTGGTGGCCTGTCACTCTGAAGTTGCAAGTGCAATATTCTGGCCACGGTGGTGGTCCCACAGACATTTCATTAACCCTGTAAAGGGTTATTTTAGCACATACTGGCTCAATAAAATGATTTAAAAATAAGAAAAAGTTACGTAGTATGCCTTTAAAGGTGTGGAGCACTAGAAAAACCATTTTGAAACGATTATTTCAGAAATATAATAGCTCTCCGAGTTTGTCATTCAGACTGAACATGAATAGCTCCAACACCCATCTCCTGCATTGGCTTCTGATAGAAAAAAGTCGGTGAAACTCTAGGACTAGAAAAGCCTGACAGATCTACGTCACACTGTCACTTTACATTCGAGGACTCACCCATCTTGACTTGCGATGGGGAAGGCTGTTGGTTTACCATCCAGGAAACAGCAGAGAACGTCTCAGCTAGTAGAAGCTAACCGCACTCCACAAAACAGCAGAACTCCTTCAGGCTTGATTTAGTTGTGAAGATAAAACATCAATGTTACAGAGTAGAGTCAGTGGTAGATGTTTTGGTCAGCAGTTTCAGAAAGTATCACATGTAGACCTTTACTGAGCTTTATTCAAACCTGTGTCACATGCAGGCCCCCACAATGCGGCTTTAAAATTGAGTCAAACCTGGAAGTAAGAAAAATTGCAGTTCCACCCTCATCCACTAGGGGCTGGTGTCAGAAGCGAGCAAATCCTCATTGACTCCCATGTTAAAAATGTCAATTTCACAGCAGAAATAAACATGTTTACAGCCTGGTACCAGAACATGTTTTTGTTTAAATGATCTAGTTAACACTCATGACAACTCTGAGGGGGGGGTGAATTTTTTCTCACTCTTCTGTTTAAGTGTATTAAAAGCCTAAAATTCTGTATAATTAATGAGCATCCGACACACGTGACCGCCGCCTCAGACCCACGTGACCAGCTCCGTAAAAGCCTCAGTAGAGCCTCGGCCTGGCTTGGAAACTGCTCCGGGATTTTGAGTCTCTGTGTTTGTGTATTCTTGTTTGGATATTTTTTGTGCAATTGTTGGACAAAATGACTTGCTGTGGCATTAATTGCACTAATAGAGCGTCCAAGGAGTCTCCACTTCATTTTTTTCGGTAAGTAAAATTACATTTATGTATTTCAGGTCACTGCCGAGCTGAGCTTAGATTTTAACATGTACTGTTTAACCATGAAACTTAAATGCAATAGGGTGAAACCCAGTGCATTTAACATAATGCTGCACTTTAGAAAATGGGTTGAAATATAACATGTTGGTGGAGCTGGGTTCCGACTATCGGCTTGTGGAGCTCTTGGGAGACCAATGTTTTCCACCTGGAATGCCGGCTGTTTCTCCCCGCAGCCCGGTCCATCTCTGTCTGATCGCGGCTCCTTAGCTCCGCGGGCTGACGGCTGGTTCTCCCAGCAGCTCAGCGCATCGCTGTCTGATCGCGGCTTCTGTGTGCTGCGCGGGCTGACGGCTGGTTCTCCCAGCAGCTCGGCGCATCGCTGTCTGATCGCGGCTTCTGTGTGACCAGGTCTCCGAGACCTCTGTGTTCCACCCGGTTTTACCCAGCGGTGAGCCCGGCGTATCTCTGACTCAGAAGCTCTGGTGTTGTGCACAGTTAACTCCGGTTGTAGCTAGGTTGCTACCTCCGTTAGCTTAGCTCCCACCTCCGTATTAGCTTTGGGTTAGCTTCAGGTTAGCTTGTAGCTAGTTCGACCGGGTGTCGTCAGTCGATCCCAGCCTTACAGCCCCACCCTCAGCCCCACCCTCAGCTCCTCCTCTCTTTCCTTTTTTGGAATTGTCTGGGCTTGATGGAACCTGAGACACGGTCAAAATGGCGGTGGTGGCCACCTCCCATTTGGCCTCAAAAAACTGATATTGGAGCCTATGGAAATTAATTGTCCAGTATATATGTCGATGGTCACATGTAGCAGTCTCAGGCATCCATCTTAACTCCCTACACTTCTTCTGCTTACATTTTCCAATCCTATACTGCCCCCTTGTGGTAGACACAAAAGTAGAGTTGCATTGCTGTTAGCCAATCAGAGGCAAGATATTCTAATATCAGTAAATAAGTCTCCAAAACCTTAAGCTACTTTCTCCTCCAGCTGAATCCTCTGTGCTGATTCAGGCACTTCTGGGCAATTTTTCCTCCGAGTTCGACTTACAAGGCATTCATTCCTACTTGGAGACCACTGTGTTTAGACTAATTACTGCTCTGTTTTCCTTAGTGCATATAAAACAAACAAGCAAGAAATCACAAAGTAAATAGGCAAAACACGACAGACAAAGATAGCACAGTAAACTGTTGGAGTTCATTATTAGACTACACAGACTTAGTCTTGTGTATCAATCAGAAACATCAAAATTCCCAAACATTGGTAAAGAAACGTATTTGCATCAGTAGAACTTTAGTCAGTTAGTGTTCTGTTTTGAGGTTGACGTCTTGATTTTTTAAAAACATAATTTTTCATCCATCTTGGTTTTCAACACCTGTTCTTATTATGGTTCCTCTGGTTCCAGTCCACAAACTCATGGATTGCTCTCCACAGAACAAACATCAACATATTTATAGAAGCTCAAAAGGTGTTTCTGATGAGTGCAAACACGTACAGAGGAGACAATAATCATAATAATTGGTGCTGAATTCTAACAGGTACGACAGAGAGCTTGTCAACCCTCAGAGTCGTCCCTGTCGCTCTCTGCTCAGTGAGCTGCTGGACGTGCAGCAGGTTGGTTTTGCAACCTGGGCACAATTTACTCATGTACGTGAATGCTTCTTTAATAGCTGTTTCTTTTTCTGCAGCAGCGTGACAGAGCTCTGGATGACAAAAGTATCCTGTCCCTTCACAACAACACCAGTGATGTTCAGAGCACCAGTCTCAAGATTAGGAGCGATGGATGTGGTCTGCACACCAAACGTCTTGGGAGGGTGAGGAGGCCGTGCACATAAGAGCAGAGCAGTGTTTACATACTGTAACAAATATGAGCCCTACCTGGTGGGTCTCGTGTCTCACACAGGACTCCTCTGCTGCTCTGAGGCCCTTTTCTCGCGCCCAGCAGCAACACCAGTTTTCTAACACGTACGTGAGTTTTTACCTCTCGTTCTCCTGTTATGGTAACAGAAAGGAAACGGCTGATGTTAACCTCCTTTTTCTTCTCATAAGCTAATAAACCACTGTCTGGCTTTGACAGAGTATTTATGATCATTTCCATTAGGAGTTACTACCTTCTTTGAAGGAAACTCTACAAGGGATAAGTGCACTTTTAGTGCCCCATGGTAACTACATAACAGTGTGTGAAGCAGATGTTTATGACGTTGTGGTGCTGGTTTTAGGCAGAAGGAGCAGGCCAAGGGTGTGTGGGAGGAGAAAGTGGAGGAGCAGCCGAGAACCTGGGAGAAGGAGGAAAAGGAGAGCCAAAGTGGAAGCCAGAATCAGAGCCAGGGGGCCCAGGAGGTGACTGTGGTGAACCGGGGGAGTCTTCACATCACTGATGAGGGAAAGACCTGTACAGATGTGTCACAGGAGCTCTCTGAGAAACAACCAGGGCTGCTGCAAGCAGAGGATGCGATGAAAAAGCAAGCTCATCACCGAAGAGGCTCTATGAGAACTGGACAGGAATGTTCATGTGAAGCTCCTCACACTGAAGAAGACACAAAGAGACAGGAATCAGAAACTAATGTGGAGAAGGATGCAAT